GGGGGCGGGCGGGGGGTGGGCAGACATGGGCACGGGCAAGGGGCAAGGGGCAAGGGCAAGGGCAGGGCAGCGGCGGGGGCGGGGGCGGGGCGGGGGCGGGGCAGGGGCAGGGACAAGGGCAGTGGCGGGGGCCTTGGCTGAGGCAGCTGCGGCGCAGGCGGCACGCGGCGCACAACGCGGCGCTGTGGCTCTGCGCAAACAGCCCGGAGCGCACGAGCGAGGGGCAGAGGCAGGCCTTTTCTCCCGATATTTTTATTCCTCTTCGGAATACCATTTCTTTAAAGCATTGCTTCAAACTCGTTTCATTACTCAATTTATAAATTGTCATGACACTGAAAATTATTCGTCCCTTTACTAAGGAAACATTAATAAAAAAAATCACATATGTTTCAGAGTAAATAAGGTACACATCGTTGGCTATTCAAACATAGATAAAACTTTGCTTAAAACGTTCTCTCTTTCATCATTACCTGTATCCGCCATTCGCATTCTAATTATTTCGTTTGTATTTGTTTTATTTTTTATTAAATGAGAAAAACAGACCGATTGAGGATAGGTTTCATCAGCAAAATGGCAATATACTAAACTAGAAACTCTTGGAGAAGAATATTAGAAAAATATGCCATGAACGTACAATAAAGGTAATACTCCAATGACGAAATATGTTGCTATAATTTTAGTGTCGTTAAAGGAGCATAATACGATATATAATAGTCACGAACTCCAGGCTCCAAACAATTAGCGCCTTGGAAGCGTACTTTTCGCCGCGCCCGTGCAATGCGATCGCAACCCTCCGCAGAAGCAGCCCGCGGCGCGACGACGCACAGCGCTTCTCGGGCGTGGGCGGAGAAGGGGCGTGGGCGATGAGAAGTGGCGGGGGTGGGGTGGGAGGGGGGCGCCCAGCCGTCGCGCGCTCGGGACGCTGGCGGCGCCGATCCTCCCCGGCTCACAATACACCGTTTTCCGTCCGTCCGCTGCTGCCGGTCTCCATTGTGGCGCAGCCAGACGCTGGGCGAGCGAGGAGATAATCACCGGGCGGAACTACTGTATCTGGCCCGCTCGCCCCGCCGCCGCCGCCTGTCACCCGAGAAGCGCTGGCTTTCCCTCTCGACGAGGAATTGGAGAGGGGAAAAAGCCTTTAGGACTTGCGGCTAAAGCCACAACGTTCGCCCGAGAGGTTCCTCGGCGAGAAGTGGGCGGGGGCGCACCGCCCCCATCCACTGCGGTGCGAGGGACGGAACGGTGACGCAACGCGAGTAGGCGAGTGGGCAAAAGCGGAAGGGAAGGTGCTGGAATTCAAACGCGCACCTCCGCTCGCCTTTCCTCACCTGGGGGCCGCCGATTACGCGCAGAAATAGAGCGCTAGCCGCCCCGCCCCGCCCCGCCCGGCCTCCCGGCGAGTGACACGCCCCGCGCATGGGCGGGCAGGCGGGCGACGTGTGTGCGAGCGCGACCGAAGGCGCTTTCTCACGGCGCCGCCTCCGCGCCGACCGCCTATTCTGAACCGGGCGTCATACGGCGCCACGTCCGCTGTGTTCAACCATCAGCCGCCCAGCTTCCTTTTTGCCGGAGGTCCTGTTTGGACGCGCAGTTCCCCTTAAACAGTGTAAGACTACGAGTTGGGAGAAGACGCGCAGGCGTAAAAAAGTGCATACCGATCCGTGGTAACGCCACAACAGATGAGTGATCACGTGATGCTGTCCACGAGACGAAAACGCTTGCGGAGACGTAAGCACTGCGGGGGAGGGCGGAGAGCGCCTCGGCGCACGGGAGACGACGCCAAGCGCGCCCGCCCCATTGCATCCGGCGCCGCCGGCTGCGCCCACGCCCGCGCCCGCGCCCGCGCCCGCGCCCGCCACGTCCCTTGCGGGGCGAAGCCGCCCCTGCCCGCTCAATTGAGGCAGCGGAAACAATACGCGCTGCCTCAGCGCGCACTTCTTAGAAACACGAACTCACAGGCGCGCTGTCGTCGGCGCGTGTATCACGTGAACAACACGTCTCTTACTTCGGCGAACGCGAGGTTTGCGCATTCGTCTTACAGAGAAAATGCGGATCTCTTGGCCACGAGAAACAGCACAATCCTCAGAGATCAATGTCAGCCCTCCATGGAGTATTTGTTTCCACAAAGCACTGTACGATACACGAACAGATAATTCGATGAACACATTTTCAAAAATTTTCAATTACGTTACAGCTTTATTTACGGAAAACGAAACAGAATACAATGTTGCTGACTTTCAAACGACATAAACTCCAACTCTAACAACAAATGAATTTCTCTACCTACACTTTGCGATTACAAGCATGAACAACGGCCAGGTGGCCCGCACGTCATTTGTCGCCGCTCTCGTGTGTTCCACCTGGTCCGGCCGCAGTCGCTTCCGCCACTTCCGAGAACAGCCCACCCGCACGCACGCGGTGGCGCGGACGGTCCAGCGCCACCGGCTCCGCGATCCATTAGCCCAATTGCGCCCGAGGCCACTTCAGCGGCCGCGGAAGAGATCCTGCCCGACACTCAACACGACACGCGCCCACGAACGTGTTTGGAAGAAAGGGGGGTTAGAGAAGGACACTGAAACGCCGAGAAGCTGTGCAAGACGACAGCGAGGTTGAGATCGGAATGAGGGATGACACAAAAAATAAAGCTCCAAACGAGACAACAAGCCACGCGCTGACGCGAGCAGAAACGGGGCACAGTGGGAGAGGAACACTTCTAAGTTCACTGAGTGCAAAGGGTTGAATTCGGGTGGGAAGACGGGCTCGCGCGTGGGCATGGGAGGAGTACCAAGCGGCCGGACCGCAACGCGTTCGCGCTCACCCGTCCGCCCGCCCGAAACCCGCGCGCGCGGGCTCACCGCCGCCGCCGTATATCACAGCCGCCCGCTAAAAATACGCGCGCGCGCACCAGCCCGCCGCCGGAAGAATGAGCGTGTCCGGGTGCGGGCGCGGGCGCGGGGGCGGGCGAGGGCCCGGGCTCGTAAATCGCGAGGGGGCGCAGGTGAGCACTGCCCTCGCCCTTGCTCGCGGAGCGCGGCTTAAGGCGGCAGAGCGAACGCGGCCGCGCTGCTCTTTTTCTCCCTCAGCCTTTTACAACTTGTTTTATTACCGCTCCACGAGTTCGTTTTTGCTACTTCGCTCTCAGATAAACCGTACACCGCTTCCGGCGACTCGCATTAAGGCGATGGACAATTAATTGAAGACGTCTTTTCTCGGCGAAGAGAGACAGCTGCGCGGTTTCACGCGATTAAGCAAACCTTCTTGCTGTCAAAAGTAAAGCGCTCATGAAAACCCCTTTTGCTTTCTCGTAAGGCGTCTGGCGCTGACAGAACGGAGCCATTAGGAAGCGTACGGTGATAATCTCGCTGTACTCCACCACGCACGATCCCGACGCGACGATTCGATTTGTTGCATGCCCACTCCCTGCCTGGATACCACATTACCCGTTCCCACTTTAATACAGACAATGAAAATTTCGGCCCCGCCCGCCGTTGACACGGCAGCGCCCTTCAGTGGCAGGCGGTGTGAAATTGGATCTCTGCATCTCTTATCACTGTTGGTAATGCTTCATGTCGATCAGAAACAGTAAGTAAATTACTACTATTAACCAGGTCTTTTAGCACTCATTCTGTTGAGAACAAAGTACTACATGAACATTCAACGATTCCATCATACGAAGTAAATATATTAGATAAAATCGTCACTATTTCTTGGTTGCATACTTCATTAAAACTATCCGTCCTTAAAACTATGACAACAGCTGAACAAAACTGAATTTAACTGAAAACTAAATTTAACTGACAATTAACACCAGAGCGTAGAACATGAGCAAGATAGCTACATATCTCCTAGAAACGTCCCAGAGAACATACGACTTCTTCTGAGACCTCCCGGCGCGCGCCCTCCGTCCATGCCCTGCAGCTGCGTAGCTCTTCCGAGCAAGTTGCGACGTAACAGGAAGCGATCAGGAAGCTCTCTAGCGCCTCTGCTTTCAGCACTTGCTCCTAACTACCGACCATTCCTCAGCTGTTTACGTTACGTGCATATTCCAACACGGCTTTCAAGACCGTTTCACGCAATAGCTGTTGAAATGCATTCTTCTGAGATCTTGTATCATTCGAAAGCTTCATTAGATTCCTGGCCGAATGAGTCCCATTCCAAAACGTACTTGTGAGAGAGTTTGTAGTGTTTCCGCTGAAAATGCATGTAGTTGGTGGAGCGTCTAAAGTGGCTGTTTCTTGTGCGCAGGGCGGAGCGGAGCACAACAGAGCAGAGCAGAGCCGAGTGGAGCGGAGCGGAGCAGCGCGTCGTCGGGCGGCGTCCGGGGCGGCGCAGGCGCGGATCGGAACCATTCGTCTCCTTCACGCGCCGTCGGCGGCGGCGCAGCCTGCTGAGGAGGAGGAGGCGGCGGCGGCGGCAGAAGAGGAGGCGGTGCAGTGCGGAGTGCGCGTGCGAGTGCGTTTGCGAGTGGTGGCGCGAGGCGACGATGTGGCGGTGAGAGTGCGCGAGTGATGCCATGGAGGCGGCGGCCAATGTGTCCGTGGGGGTGGGGTGGCGCGTGGGCGGGGGGAGGCGCGCTGGGGCGGGGCCGGGGCGCGGGACCGTGCAGACGAGGCGGCGTGCGACGGCCCGTTGCGCTGCGCTACGAGGCGGCGCGCGGCCGCTGTGCGGGGGCGCGGCGGCGGGCGCGGGCAACGCACCCTGCTGCTGTTGGCTGTTCGCGGCGCGGGGGCGACGGAGGGGGCGGGGCCGACGCGCCGGGCCGCATGCTGCTGTGGGACGGCCGGGGGGGCGGCGAGGGGCGTGGCGCGGGCGCAACGCCTTCGCTGGGCTGGGTGGCTGGGCCTGCGCGAGGTGCCGCTCGTGGCCGGCCTCGTGCCAGGCGAGGCGGCGCGTCGCTGCGCCTCTGCTGCTTGGGCGGCGGCCGGCGGCGGGCGTGGCCGGCGCGGGGGGCGTGGCGGGCCGCTGCCCGTCGCGCGGACTGGGCGGCCGCCGCCTCGCCGCCGCCGCGCGCCGCTGCGACCCGCCCTACGACTGGAGCTTCCTCTTCGTGCTGCTCTTCATCTTGGCCGGCGGCGTCGGCAACATCCTCGTCTGCCTCGCCGTCTGCCTCGACCGGAAGCTGCAGAACGTCACCAACTACTTCCTGCTGTCGCTCGCCATCGCAGACCTGCTCGTCAGCCTCTTCGTCATGCCGCTGGGCGCCATCCCCGGCTTCCTGGGTAAGTGGGCGCCGTCCTCTCGGCGACTCCCTGTCCTCGACCCCTCGCTCCGACGACCGCAGCCGCAGATCGGCGGTCGGCCCGCCCGCAACTCCGTCAACCCGACTCTCCGAGATCCAACGAGACGCGACCGCACTCGGCTCGTCGCCCACACCCCCGATAAACTTCCCCAAGATCCTAGTGCAACTCGCCAAACGATGAAACAACACTCCCACCCCCTCTGCGACACTCAGGTTGGCCGCTGAGCGACAAAATGAGCGCTCGGGCGCGCACTGGTCGCCACGCTGCTCACCGCTTGTTGTGTTCACGAAGGTGACCCGCCCCATCCTGCCTCTTCCCGTCCCGTACTACGCCACGCGGCGGGGCAGAATTGGGTTGAGAAGAGGGGCAGGGAGGTCTGGCGAAATTACAAACTTGGCAACGCGGGTGGGCGGGCAACCACCAGAAGAAGCGGCGGCGAGGAAGCACCTCGCAGCGCCGGCGCCCAAACTGCCGCGAAGTTCCTCTGCTACACTCTGAGGGGGAGGGGAAGGGTAGGGGAGGGGAAGGGAGGGGGCGGACGCGGCTCCGCCCCTTCAGAACCTCTGTGCGGCCGCACCCCCTACTCTCGCCCTCCAGCGAACGCGCCAACTGACGCAACGCACACCGCGCGAGATACTCGCGCTTCGCTTTGCGCTACACAGCAGATTCTCTGTTCAGTAGCCGTTTCAACATACACGCAACAACAAATTAACAGCCTGCTTTATTCCCTTCTCTCACTGTACATCGTACGGCGTTTTTCTCACCATAAACGTTCTCCTTAACAAGGGCGAACACAATGATATGCACAACCTATTGCCTCAACGCTTACCCACTTCATACAAAAAGCTGCTCGCTGCACTTCAGAAATCTTTACAGAAAAAAAATAGAATGACGTTCTTGGTTTATAAAATTTTCATTCGCAAAGAAAACGTTTTTCATTCAGAATACGAGGAATAATACATCCTTTAATAATAATAGTAATAATTAATAATAATAATAACAATAACAACAACAACAACAACAACAATAATAATAATAATAATAATAATAATAATAATAATAATAATGAGATGTCCATGCCTTAGGGTAGACCTCGTCTGCTTGGCCTCCTCCCAACACAGTGAAGCAAGCGTCATTAGCCGCCAAAGAGCTGCGAGTGGGCCCGAGCGCGAGCGCGCGTTGTCCCTCAGCTGTCGCGTGTATTGATAAGCCCGTCCGCGGGGCGTCTATTTGCTGTGCCAAATCCAATTTAATGCGCTGTTTGTTCAGCAGAGCAAATGCCGGCGCGAGGCGACGTTCGTGAGCGGGCAGGCGAACGAGCGGGTGGGCGGGGCGGGGCGGGCCGGCGTTCAAGGCCTCCATCGGCCGAAGGTGGGCGCTTTTTGCAGCGCGAAAGCGGGGGGCGCAAGTCACGGCCAGCGACCGTCGTCGCAGCCGACGCCGCCGCCGCCGGGCACAGAGAGCTCATGGCGAAAGCGCCCGTGTGTGGCGCTCACGATCCATCGGGTCGCCTAGTGAATTCATTCCCTCTCACATACTTTACGACCTCTTGCTGCTGGAATGCTCCCGTTTATGGCTACCAGAAAGACGTCTTTACGTACAAACCTACCCTCAAAAAATCCATGCTTTTAGCAGACACAATCAATTTTTTTCGCTCGCAGAAAGCTAGTACTCCTAGAATGGGAAGCATATTTAATACTCAAATGATTATTTATCTACGGTCGTGTGCTGTCCTATTAGTTTTATTTCGTTTTTAACTCCGTTACAGTGTGTTGTTCTTTAATACTTCTGTTGACTACGTGTTTTGTTGCGTGTAACTCATTTTTTAAGAAACATTGAAACACGTTTAAACATTGAATTACTATGCATGTCGGCAGAAAGCAATCATTACAATTAATATCAAAGGAAATACTACAATATCATTTAGCAAGTATTATTTTTATTTATACTAGTCCTATTCCCTTAATGAACATCACTCAGGGAATCGTATCACTGGAACTACTAAACGAGCGTGCAATTACATCGATGCTCAGAGAACAATGTACTGCAAAGAGGTCAGTTTATGAAGTACGTGCGAAGGAAAACCGGCAGCCATGCAAGCCGTTCGCGCTTCCCAGACCACAGGGAGGCAGACGAGCGTCCCGTCGCATCGCCGCACTCGTCACCCGCCACCTGCCCCCGCCCGCTCCGCCATTCCTCGCGCGCCGCGCGGGCGCGTAAACGCTTTACTGCGTCATTTCGGGCGCCGGCAAGTGAGATCAGTAGTTTAATTTAATCAAGCGCGTGGGGAAGAGGGTGGGGGGGGTGGGGGTGGGGGGCAGCCACTTCGGGTGATGAAGTGGCGCGCGGCGGTGGAGGGACAGCACCGGGGAACGGAGCACACAAAGCATTCGAACAGCCGCCAATGGGAGACGATTCACATAAGAACGGAGAACAAAAAAGTACAATAAAAAACGCTTCTAAACAGTGATTCTGAATTGCAACACATTGCACCAGGATCACTCCGCAATTCGTGAAGGAGACTTTTTCCCCCAAGATTAACTAAGCTATTACATTGGTAATTTTTTTAAATGCTGTTTTACCACTTTTGTGAAAAGCAATTATGTTACACCCACCAAACAATAAAATCCTGAATTCTCATAAATACCATACATGTCCTCAAAGTTTCACGTATACAACTTCGCTGAAATTGTGATGACTTGGAAATTCTTTTAAAATTAAATAGGTGTCACAATATTGAGTAAGATAGGAGGGCGGCACCCTTCGCAGTGGCATAAACATATAATGTGATCGGAGTTAAACAATTCCTCAATGTTTGAAAGGCTGATTTCATTAACATACCGCACTCTGAATTATAGTCCGATTTTTCATTCGGAACATTTATCTGAAGTGGAAAATGTGATAACAGCCGCTGTAAGCAAGCATTATAAAATACCTGCAGGTTTTGCATTGGAGCCGAGATCGGGAATCGCAGCGGGCGCGCTGCCCCGTCGCCCCGTGCAGCCTCACGGCGCGTTAAGCGACCGCGGATGCGCTAATCTGATCCGAAATTCTAATGGCGGGCGACCGCAGGCGGGCAGGCTGGCTGGCTGGCTGGCTGGCTCCGGC